TTTGGTGGAACTGGGGATTGAACTCAGGCCCTTGCACTTGCCAGGCAAGCGCTTATTTTACTGAGCCATCTCCCTGGCCCCAGCCATCTCCCCAGAGCCCTAGGTCTTTATTATAAGGCTTGTTGGGTGGATTTTGTAAATGGCAATTTCACTGTGCTGCTGGTTAAGGCTATGGTGGCAACTGTTAACCAACTACCAAAGAGTTTGCTGTGTGGTTAGTTAGGACAGAAAAGGAGAAACGTCGGCATTCAGTAGAGACCAAAATCGGCACCTCCGTGTCATGTCCACACCCAGCGGGGGCACAGTGGTGTGCTATAGAGCCTCTCTTAGAGGGACTTCTCCTTTGGTCAAATGAGAATGTTCCCACATGTGGACATAGTGGCCAGCTGGGTTTCAGTTAGTTCTCATGAGGGGATCTCAGGACCTGTAGATCTTCCATGGCAGCCATGCTGTACCTCTGGATCTCTGGCATGGCCCTGAAAGCCTCCCTGACCCATGGCTTATGTGAGGCCCTCATTCCCAAGTGTGTCACACAGCTGCCCACCCTGGGGGCACAGTCTGTGGAAAGTTTGAGTCTGGCCTGACAGCAGATTTTTGCAAGCTGTGAAAGTGCACCCTCACTCTGAAATGCTTTGTTTTCTCTAAAGCCAGGATCTGGAATGTCGGCCTCTGTTTGATAGCGTTTTCCCACGCCTCTGTCCTTATAGCTGGTGGCAAAAGAGGAACTTAACCCTTGAGGAAAAGGAAACAGTAGCTGGTGTTCTTTCCACACAGCAATTTATAGCTCAGAACCTTCATGCCTTTGGCAGTCTGGGACATCTTCATATGTGGAAACACATTTTTTTTCGTGGTCACTGAATCCTGCAGTAAACTTGCGCCTGATTGGCTGTGGCGCAGTCAGCGTGTGGCAGAGGGACACGGAGGGTCCAGGGTTTGGCTGCTGTCCAGTCCGTAGTCAAGGTGAGGCCACCTGTGGTTCCGTTTCCAGGTGACTTCTGTTAGTGCCGGAGGTAAAGACACCTTTTCTGGGAGACACACAGACCCTTCAGGGAGGGCGTGAGCTCTGTGCTCCACGTGTCTCCTCTGTGACAGAAGAGCCTTTGTGTATGGGGATAGATTGAGAATGACAGTGCGCCCCTGTTGTCACCCAGGGTGGTATAGCGCAGGGGCTCTAGAGAGCAGCTTACCCACCAGGTTGCCTGGTCCTGTGAGCCCGTGTGCTCCCTCTAAGGGAGCCATCACTGGTGCTCTGTACTTGTCTTCAAGAACTCACGCTTTTGAGATAAGGGTCCCTGTTTGCTTCCTTCCACGCCATGGAACCATCTTGGTGTTACTGTGACTTTCCCCTTGTCCTTGGCCCCAAGTAGCTCTAGGTAAAACTGCAAACAGCAGCTCCAGGCGTGCCCGGCGGTGGCGGGTGGGGTGACTTCTGCTTACCTGTCTCTTGGTGCCTTTTCCCCAGCAGCCTTTGTTGACCTTGGTTCTCCATAGCAATTAAGCTCAGCAGCCCCACAGTATGGGCTGTCTCAAAACAGAGTCGGACTGGAAGGGCCCAGGGCCCAGAAGGCCCCCACAGGAGGCTTTTTGTTCTATTTCACATGGTTGGCAGGGTGAAGATGGCCAAAACTTTGCCAGCCTGAGAGTGTGGGGCAAGTGGGGAGTATTTTCAACATACCTGTGTTATCGCATGTGACAGCAACTCATAAACTGCTAAGCACTAGACAAACATCATCCGTGTTCTCTGCAGTCTCGGCAGGGACACCGGACTGCTTGGCCTTAGGTGTTCCTGTGGTGAGCTTGTGCAGTCCCAGGACTGGACCGCAGGCCCTCGATGACCCAGTCTGTGTTCGGGTCACGTTATCCTGTTCTGAGCTGTGCCCCTTGTTGCTGTCCTCAAGTGGATGTCCAACACTGAGCCATTTAAAGTCACCAGAATGCTCCTAAGAAGCGTTAGGCGTCTGTTTTGGACTTGTATGCCTAAAGGACACATGCCGAGGTGATTTTGTGAGAGGAGGGCTAGAGGGAGCCGGGAAATGCTGCATCCAGGGGGCTGCTGCGTTTTGTAGTAAGTGCCCGTCAGTGTGTGGCTCGGCCTGTAGCGTAACGTCCGCTCCACTTTCTCTGACAGTCGCCTTCCCTCTCACGCCTTCTATTCAGCAAGGTTGCCAACCTTCGGATCTCCAGATTCTTTTTTCTGCGTCTGAGCATAACTTAGGGCTCCTTTTGATTACAACCTTCTCTACCCGGGTGTGTCTCTGACCCATGGGACAGTTTTTTTTCCTTACGGACTTATTTTCAGCTATTTTAACCCTCAGAGCAATCTGCACAGCAGTGTGAATTCTAGAATATGGGACGTGGAGCTGAAGGTCACAGATGTCTTGGTAATTCTTCTCGTTGCTAGGAAGAAATATCTGGCATCCAGAGTTGAAGGGGAAAGGTGGGTTTTGGCTCAGTCTGTAGAGATTTTGGTCCATACTTGGCTGACTCCGAGGCAGAGTGGCCTGGTACAGGGCCATGGAAGAGGAGAAACAAGCAACGGCATGGCGGGCAGGTGGCGGCCCGCGGCAGGCGGCAGCAGCGAGCCTCCCTCCCTTTGTCCATCCGGGTCATAAGCTTACCGGGTGGGCCACACACCCAGAACTGCGGTAAACCAGCTAGCGATTAACTTATACCGCAACCCTTAATGCCACCTCCCGAAGCCCACCTGGAGCACGTGGGGCTTAGGGGGATGTGTAGACACAAGCTGTGATAGCAGGCTACGAGTTATGAAGCAGGTTTACATGTTCCAGCATTTAACTCAGCACTCAGCTTTTGAGCACAGACATTCGGGTTTTGGGACTCTGCAAACCCTGAGCCCAACAGCTTTGACCTGGTGCTGTATTCCTGCGTTGTATTCTTGGGCTTCCCTGTCATTCCTGTGGGTGTCACTGGCTAATTTAATGGGCTTTTTTGGTTGCTGAATGAATGTCAGAACCAACAAGGTGCTGGTGTGTCTGCAGTGGCTTTATTCTGGTCTTTCTCCCTATCACTGAAGGAACAGGTCAGGTGGCCCTTGTCCAGGCCATGAAATCCATGAAATCCCTCTGCTACCTGTTCCTGTGGCTGACCTGGGATGTTCTTCCTCTGCCATCTGCAGAGAGAACTGAGCCGGACCGTCCAGGAGCAGAAGCAGCTGTCGGAGAAGCTGCAGACTGAGACTGCGCAGAAGGAGCAGTTAAAGAGGTTGAAGAACGAGATGGACAGTGAGCGACGACACCTCAGTGAGACCATTGAGAAGCTGCAGAAGGAGGTGAGGAGCAGGAGGGGATAGGGTGGGCTGCCCCGCCAGGACCCAGGCCCTCAGGGGTTGGCTGAAAGCCGAGGAGACCTGGCTTCAGTCTAAGCACAAACCTTCCTGGGGTTCTTGGGGTCTTGAAGCAGGTCTTTGGGTTTGCAGAGTCCCATGTAGAAACTAAAAGGTGAAGGGCAGCACCCTGTGGATTCTTGGCCCCAGAGTCTCCTGTGGCAGCAGGCAGCAGCCTGGTATGGAAGCACATGCCTGTCCCAGAACCAAAGGCCACACCGCTGGGCAGTCTGGGCTTGCGTCTGTCTGAGCTCACCAGGAGCGCCAGAGTCAGTTTCAGAAGGCCGCAGCTGCCCAGCTTGGGGTGCACGCCTGCTCCCCCAGCTGCTTGTGGGGCTGAGGCAGCAGGACTGAAACTTCAAGGCCAGCCTGGACAGCTTGGTGAAACTCAGTCTGGAATAAAAAATAAAAGCACTGGGCATGTGGTTCAGTTACAGAGCAAGCGCCTCGGCCTCATCCTCAGTGCTGCACACAGAGCAAGATAAGAAATCCCAGTGGTGAGGCTTTTGGGATCGCCTGGCTGCTAGATGCTGCCAGGCACCTCCTCTTCATTGGCTATTTCATCTCTAACTAGAATTCCATTTGTGTTATTTTAACCTCTTCTGTAAGGTGTTACCCTACCAGTGTTTCCCAAGAGGACACTGCTGAGCCACAGAGCAGTTGAGGCCGGCCCAGCCACGTAGGGGACGTGGCCGAGCGAGGGTCTAACCCCAGGACCTTGTCCAGCTTGAGAGGAGGAGCTCGTGGGCTGCTCTAGGCTGGGGCCAAGTCCGAGGTAGCCCAGCGCGGAGGGGACGGCCCAGGGCCTGCGCTCTGTGGCCGGGGAGGAGAGGATGCTCCTGTGCTGAGCAAGGACCGTACCAGTCTGCTGTCCTGCGCGGCCGCAGGCCTGGCTCACACCTGGTCCCCTGTTCAGATGGCCGACATTGTGGAGGCCTCACGCATGTCGACCCTGGAGCTCCAGAACCAGCTGGATGAGTACAAGGACAAGAACCGCAGGGAGCTCGCGGAAGCACAGAGGCAGCTGAAGGAGAAGTCCCTCGAGGCAGAGAGGTCCCGCCTGGCCGCCGCCACGCTGCAGGACGAGGTGATGTCCGGCCCGGCAGTTTCCTCCCTCACTTCTTTCCTCCACCTGTCCTTCCGGCCTGCCTTGAAACACCACTGTGAGGGACCTCAGAGTAAGACGGCTTCGGGGCTGGAAGCCTCGTTCTTAGCCCCCCTTGTAGAGAGGGGAGGGTGCTGTTCTGAGACACAGGAGTGCCCAGCTCAGGGCGGAAGGGGACACAACTTCAGTGGGACCATTTGCTTGGCTAATCTAACATTTTCTGCTTAAGAAGTTCATCTGCCACTTTCGGAGCAGAAACGATGTGCCCTGCTGTGCCCAAGGGCTTTCTATCCGTTGTGTTTTAGTTTATTCCTACAGCAAGACCTGTAGTAACTGACTAGTGTTTTTCTACTGAAGTTTTGAAAATTCCAACTTTTATTGGGATGGGGGTGGGTAAGACTTTCAGGACAACAATAACAGGGAATAAAAGACATATTTTAGAATAAAAGACATATTTAGAGCTTATAAGTACTGAAGTATAAAGCATATTCCTGGTTTTATGTTTAAGAATAGAGCAAAGAAACCCAAATGTTAGCCCCTTCAAAAAAATGGTTCAATAGTGACCTTGAGCAAGTTACCCCGGTTTTCTGAGCATCTGTTTCTGTCTCTGTAAAGATATACAAAACATTAGTTAATGAATAACCACACGCGCTGATACCTGACAGGAGAGGGTCTGTACGCCTTGGGCCCTTGTCAGTGTAAGCTTTTCTTTAATTGTAAAGCTTTTTATTTTTTTTTTGGTTTTCCGCGTACACTGCCAAGAGTACTAAGATTCCACAGGAAAACACATTTTCTTTGAAAAACAAATCTTCAATTTCTTTGATGATCAAAGGGACGCTGCCCTGGAGTCCCGCTGAACATCAGAGAACAATGGGTATTTATTGCAGAGCTCTAGAGAGGACCCTGATCACAGACCCGCTCTGGCTGGGACTCCGCTGGTATAGGACTCTCAGGGAGAGCAGACGCTGACACTTTGATTCACGGTTTGCTTCAGCGTGAAAAAGAAATACTTTCTTATTTCTATAGGAAAGGGGCACAGGGCTCGGATGTTTGCCAGAACAGCCGCAAACACCTGGCGTGTTTCAGCTTCAAAAGATCGCAGTGTGGCGCTGAGCCATGCACAGGGTTCCCTCTGCTTTTTGCCTAGTGTTTCAGTGACGGTCTCAGGGCTGGAAGGAAACTTAACAGATCCTCTCCTTAGAATACCCGGCTCCAGAGAAGAGTTGAGACCAGGTAGAGACCAGCATTGCTTATGAAATTGCAGCTATTTAAAAAATTTTTTTTTCCTATAATAGAAAGAAAGATGGCCTTCCGTAGATTTTTCTCAGTGGCACAGGCTGTAGACCCCATCTCCAACCAAAAGTGCCTTGACTCTGAAAGGAACTGTTAAGATGCTGAAGTCTTGTGGTTGTGGAAAAGGCGCTCAGTTGTCACTCTGGGTCCTGGCCAGGCTCACGCCCAGCTCTGCCCTGAAGTGCAGCTCTCCTTGTGGAGAGCTCGGGTCGGCGGTGTGGGGGTAATCTCCGCCTGTGCTGTGAGAGGAGTGGGCTTGTCGCCATTCGCTCTGCAGTGTGGAGCTGGGGAAGTTCTGATGACGGCAGCCTTTAGGAGTAAAGGCTTCCCGTTCGCCATCTGTCCGCGTATTTTCTGAGGCCTGTGGAGAGGAGGGTGGGTTTGGCCAGCTAAAGGCAGCCGCCCTGCTGGGCCACAGAGCTATCTGCTTCCTTCTGATTCTGGGAAAGTTGTTGGAAGACATTGAACAGGGTGAGAGTGCTTTACCTGATGTGTTTGGGGCTGGACTGTGTCAGCTTTCAGTTTTTCAGATTTTACAGTATTTGCATAGATTTTACTGGTTGAGCATTTTTTAAATCTGAAAAAATGTGAACTGGTTTTTTTTGGTTGCGGGTTTCAGATTTTGAACTTGGGACCCTGAGCCCATGCCAGCTGTTTTCTCCTGGGTGTCCCTGGGGAGTGCTGTCAGCAGGACGGGCCCTGTGGGGTGTGAGGAGGGACCTGCACGGCACAGGGAACCTGGGGTTGGGGGGCAGTGCCAGTGCCGGAGAGGACCCCAGGGAGGGCGGGGTGGGAGGCCCCGTGGTGCCGTTGGGGCACCTTTTCGCCTGATGTTCACACAGCTCTGCACGTCGGCTTGGATAATTAGGCCAGCACAGTGAAAGAGGGAGTTTTTGTTGTGAGGAGTTAGCAGGGCCCTCAGCCTTCGCCCACGGCCGACCTTCGGGTCAGACCCGGGTCTCTGGAGACGTGGTCTTTGCGGCCGGGCCATCTGCTGCACGCCTCCGAAAGCACCCTCTTCCCGGCTTGCCCTGCTCCCGCTGCCCTCCCTCCACTTCCCCAGCTTCTCTGCCATGAGCGTCTTTCCCCCTCCCCAAGGGCCACTTCTGCCCTTCCCTGAGGGGTCCATCTGGTGACTTCTTAGACGTGCCTCCCCACGAACTCGCCTGGGAGGGCAGGGCAGGGGAGCCAGCCCTGAGCTGTGCCTGAGCTGTGCCCCCAGCATCCACCCTTCACAGAAGGGCAGGCCCCGGCACCCAGAATCAGGCTGTTTATGCGGGCGCGGTCTCTTCCCAGCTGTGAGCTTAGTGCCACCTTGTGGTGAGGAGCCCCGGGGTTAGGGGGCTGACAGAGCAGTGTCTCCTACAGAGCAGCGCCACTCTGCGCACTTATACCAGGTTTTGTGCCTGCGGGTTGCTCGGACTGAGTCAGCTTTCCTTTTATCCTGACTTTAAGCCCCTTTTGAGGCCAGGCGATGCTGAGCGCAGATTGTTCCTGGAAAAGCACTTGGCTGGGTCAGAGGCTCCCAAGAGTAAGTAAGGCCTGGCACCCAGAGTGAGAACTGCGTGTGGCTGAGTTACGGCGTGGGCACACAGCGGCCCACGCCAGCGCACTAGTGCCTCGTGCCCCAGGACTGCACAGGAGTGTTTGCGGACATTTTCTGCTACAGTACGTGCACGCAATAAACGCTGGAGCTGCGACTTTTCACGGGTGTGCTAGGACTGCTTTGTCAGATTATGAGCAAATCTGACTTACGAGTGTTCTCCCAGGGTGGAACCCGTCCGTCAGTCAGGGACTTGCTGCACATTGCAATGCCCATCAGCGCTGAAAAGGTTGAACTTACAAGCTAATGGGGTCGTTGCCTGTAGCTGCGCAGCGGCCTATTGTACAGAAATGGAAACTGAGGCCCAGAGACGGGCGAGACTTGCTCAGGGTCTTCAGGTCACCAGCAGGGCGGAGCCCACGGGGTCTTCTGTGCCTTGCGCGGAGGCTGTGGGCCTCTGTGCTCTTCCGAACCCCCAACTCCTGTCGTCCCAGATGCGCCTAATGGAGGAGGAGATTCGGGACTACCAGCGGGCGCAGGACGAGGCGCTCACGAAGAGGCAGCTGCTGGAGCAAGCGCTGCAGGAGCTGGAGCGCGAGCTGGAGGCGAGGAGCCACCTCCGAGAGGACCGCGGCCGGCTGCTGAAGCAGATGGAGGTCGGCGTGCGCTGTCCCGGCGGGAGTGTGAGGGGGTGCTGCGGCCAGGGACCCTGGAGTGAGGGGAAGGACTGCGTGGGTTTCTTGGCTGTTTGCTTTTGAGATAGGGTCTCACTTGGTAGCCAGGCTGGTCTCAAACAGAGGGCAGTCCTCCTGCCTCAGCCTCCCAAGGCTGGGATTATGGGTGTCGCCACCATGCCAGCCAGTGTGCCTGAATGTCTAAAAGCAAGTGTGTCTCGAGAGCAGAATGAATCACTGACCAGAAACACACGGCACGCACAAGCTCACAGGCACACGCACAAGCACGCATGCACACGCACATAGCCGTGTGCTCCAGAACAGTGCAGAGGTAGCCGTCAAAACAAGGCTTAGACTTGAAGAGAAGTTAAAACTGTCAAGGTTTTGGTAAAAGTCAGTGCTCAAGGTTGGGGACAAATTCTAAATTTCTGGGCTTAAGTCCTAAATCAGTGGAGTTCCTGATTCAGCTTTGCAAAAAACCAGAAATTACTTTTCAAAGCCTCTAGGAGATGTGGTCCTTCATAGGACCTGAGGAGTGTTGTTTCCACTATGGATGACGTTATTAGGTGGACCTCTTTTAGAGGCCAGGATAATCTGATTTCAGTTCTATGACTTTTCTGTGGAACTGCTGTTTGCTAACGTCGCTCCAGGATAGGTCATTTGCAGGCTAGTGAAGGCCAACATGGTTACCTAGAAAAGGAGTTTTCTAGGGCCCAGCCAGCCCATCGTGCAGTAGGAGGGGTCCTGGCCTGGGCCGTGGATGCTGTGGACTTGGGGCAGGAGGAGCCTGTAGATAAGTGGTTTTAGCTGAAGATTAGGTTGTCTGGGCATCCCTGCTAGAGGTTTTTTGTTTTTGTTTTTGTTTTTGTTTTGTTTTTTAATTAAAAAGATCATTTGTTCTGCTGACTTAAGAACTAGAAGTGGTAGTGTACTAAGTTGCGTTGGCCTTGTGCAATGTTGTAGATATTTCTCCATTAATGATAGGACGACTGGCTGTCCAGGCAGGAGAGCGTACTCCCCGTGTCTCCTCCCTAAGGTGGCCGGCAGGACCTTGCTGTGGCTGGTGTCTTGCCTGTGTCTTCGCTAGCCCTTAATAAATGAACTCTCGGGGCTCCAGAGCTCTCCATACAGTGGACATTTTCTCTACGTGGGTGCAGCCTTCGCAGATCCTTGGGGAATCTGCCTGTGCGAAGTGGGCCTGGGAGGAGGTGGGACCTGCATGAACAGCAGCTCTGGGGAGGACCCAGCTGTCCCCAGGTGGCTAGTGGGTCTCTGTTCTGGAGAGCAGCTTCCTAGTGTCCCTGTAGGTTCTGAACACTAGCAGGGAAGGCTGTTCGCAGGCTCTGTCATGCGCAGGAGTTCTGAGAGTTTAATCTTGGGTGCATAGGGCAACCCCCCTCCCGCGCTTGTCGATCAACTCTGGAAGTTTTGCTTATGTATGAATGCTGCTAGCCTGGGTGTCAAGGCTCAGAGTGCTAATTGCGTTCCTGGCTCTGGGCCTGCCCAGACCTGTGACACTCCTGCTGACCTGGGAGAAATGGACACAATGCCTATAGTGCCCATGCCAATGGGGGGTGATTTGGTTGGAAGAGTCTTCATATGTGAAGCTGCTTTGATACTCTTCCTTTTCACAGTTAGTGATACCAGGTTGGGAGTCAGCAAGGATACAAATTGATGACTGTTTACCAGAATTGGCCACTGCCATCCTCGGACTCCAGTATCCCCAGAGAGGCCGGTGCAGGAGGGGGAGTAGGCTCTAGGTCTCTGAGCAGCAGGAAGGCAGACCCTGCCCCAGCAGGAAGCCCCGGAGCCACGTGCTAGGCTGGCTCCTCAGGCCCAACCTTGGGCTTAGTGGCTAACAGGCTCACTTGTAACTTTTAAAAGTATTGGATGGATAGAGTGAAAAAAGATTTGAAGGCAACCTGCCAAAATATCCTTTGCTTTTATGTTAGGGTGTAGATGACTTTTTCTTCTTAAATGTATTTTCTACACACACCACTGCATTTTTACATCACCAAAGCAGTAAGATGTGGCTTTTAACATGACTGCCTTGCTTGGGCAGCGTAAGAAATAGTCACGTCTTGTTGCCAGACCCTGGTGACACTCGGGTCGCCTGTGCCTGTGGGGTTTTTCTTCCACAGGGCAGTCCTGGCTCCACGTCCTGCTCAGTGAAGTGACCTGCATTCGTTGTTTTTCCTAGGACAAGGTGGCTCAGCTGGAGACGGAGCTGGAAGAAGAAAGAAGCAACTCAGATCTGCTGTCTGAGAGGATCAGCTGGAGCAGGGAGCAGGTGCCGAGGCCGAGTGGTACCTGAGTGTCCGTGTGAGAGGGGCCACGTGAGAGGTTGCGGGCAGGACTTCAGGCAGAGCTGGGGGCCGTGCAGTGTGGGGATGGGGGTCCTGCAGGCCAGTCGACGTTGTCCAAGGCCGAGTACTTGAGCTGAGGCTTTAGGAAGCTTTAGTTTGTCAGGCAGCTGTGTGACACAGGCAGCAGCAGGGCTCTGGTAGGGCGGTGGAACTCACACCCCTGAGAGCCTTCCCTCGAGGAGTCTCCAGGCAGATCAGCCGTGTGCACACCCGGGGCCTCCCAGGCGCAGATCTGCTTGCAGTTGTGTAATGAGTGTCCCTTACATCCGATCTTCACGGCAGTGCTGTGAAGCAGCTGAGGACAGTCTGCATCCTCACTGGTGCGAACGGAACTAATTCCCAAGCTGCTTCCTCGGAGCCATCACAGGTTTCTGGGTTCTCCAAGTGGTTGGGCAGAGCGCTGGGGTGCCCCAGCAGTGGCAGGCGGGGGGCTCTGTCTCAAAGCTGGGATCTGCATCCTGTGAGCCACTTGGGACAAGGACTCGCAGTGGCAGGGCTGTTCCACTCAGCCTCCCATTCCTGTGCTTGCCTGGGCCTCAGTGGAGTCTCAACACCATCAACTTTCTCCTAAGTGAGACTGACACTTGCTAATTAAAAGAGTATTACCAAAACCTTGGAGTGAGGCTTGTCAGATAAAAGACTGAAGTGAAAGCTCTGAACACCAGTGGTGTGAGCGCCGTCTGTCCCATCTGCCTGTGCTGCTTGTTCACGCGCCTTAGCCTTCCTTCCCTTTGGGGGACAAGGGCTGGAGGTTGCGGTTCTTAGGGCCATGCTGTGCACTGGTTGTGCCTGCTGGAGCTGGAGCAGTCGCTGACTTCGTTTCCGTCTGCCTGCCTGTCTCCGGTGCCGGCTTTCTCTGCAAACAGGCGTGCTCCTCCTGCCTGGGCGCCATGAACTTAGAGGAAGTGCCGAGCCAGGGTCTGGTTTGTTAATGGCATGAAAGCTTTGGGTGCCAGGGCTACAGAGCTTTGGGGAGGCACCTGCCTGGATCCAGCACCCAGGAGGGAGCTCAGCCTGATGCTGGCCAAAGTTCTCGCCTTCTCTAAGTTCCCTCACCCAGCGGAATTAAAGCTGTTCTCCCTGAGCTCCTGCAGCTCAGCTCGGCAGCCTCCGCCCTCTGAGCACCCACAATAGCAGTGACCAGGAGTTGTTTTGCCAACCTTTCTTGTGACTTCTGCACAAGGGGTGGTGGGAAAGCATGTCGTCTTAAAACACCCAGAACACCCAGGCAGTTGAGACAGAATTCCAGCATCGTGTTTTACACCCAAACCAAAACACAGATGCACTGAACTGGAACCTGGCAGCCTCCCTTGCTGAGGCTGCCTGAGATCTTGCCCCATCCAGCCCCTTTCCTCCCTGCAAGCACGTAGAATTTGGGGAATGGGCTGTGCTCTGTGGCGTGGCCAAGCTCGATAGTGTTTGCACTGAGCCAGGGAGCTGAAGTGGGCCTAGGGAGGAAGTGAGCAGAGCTGACCTGGCCGGCCGGAACCTGCTCGTCTGGCACCAGCGCTTCAGGGCTCGGAGAGCCCAGCCTCCTGGAGCTGTAAAAGTGAGGCTGCTGGCTGAGGAGGTTCTGAAGGCTTTGCTACTTTCTAACCTTGCAGTGTGTCAGGAAGGTTGTGTAAAACCCAGCATGTCCAGTTCACCTTTTTTGAGGTCCTTCATTACATGCCCACAAAGACGAGCCCTGCAAGCCTGCTCTCTTCTGGGAGTCTTCAGCAGTGGTGGGGTGGAGAACCACACAGATTCTCCAGCTGCGTTACTGAGTGGAGCCTGAGGTCTGGTGTGACCTCGAGGTCAGCCCTGCAGACTGGGGGCGTAAGGGGTGAGAGATTGAGGACCAGGGCCCTTGGTGCTCTGGCCGGAATCGCAGGACCGTCAGCTGCAGAGCTGGCCCTGGGCCCCTTGTCCCAAAGGCAGCTCTGTCTCCCAGTGCATGCCGAATGTGGCGGACACACTTGCAAGGTCCTGTGGGAAAGCTACAGGTTCCTGGCCTGAGGCCTGAGGCTGAAGGAGCTGGGTCAGGTGCAGTAAGTGGCAAACTGAGAGTAAAGCAGAGCAGGGACTGAAGGCAAGGGGAAGCCAAGCGGCGTGCAGGAGGGACGGCCTCAGGTGGGGTAGGAAAGGAAGAGGCTGGGGGTGAGCTCTGAAGGCTGGCAGGACTGGGACCAACTTGGGAGCAGGAGTGGAACCAAAGAGGGCCGGACGAGAATGAAACTTGGTTGGTGCGAGCAGACCCGCTGAGGGGCGGTGAGCCGCAGGCATGAGCGGTAGGCGTGCTGCCGGCTTCTGTCAGGGACGGGAAGGCAGATCTGGAGAGGCAGGCAGAGGCTTTTCCATGCCTGTCCACGAGGTCGTGGGGAGCCATCGTGGGTTGTTGAGCACAACAGTGGGCAAAGGCACAGAGTGTGGTGGCAGACAGGTGCGCCCAAGTTGGGGTACAGAGGGCAGACAGGGCCGTCCTGAGGAGGGAGCATGCCGCACTCTCTCGTCCTGGGTTGCTCTTTTGCATGTCTGTCTGTGTGACACCCAGGACATGCCGGCTGTGCTGTTTTTCGTCCCCAGCCTTGCTGGGCCTTTGTGTGTGCGTGCTCAGGACAGCATTGTTCAGACTGATGGATTCTGGGAGCCCCGATGGACAGAAGGGCTTCCAAACCTCCCGGAGCCTTGCACTTTGTGTGCGAGTCTGGCCAATGTGAAGAACAAGATTTGGAGCTGATAAAATAACATCCTCTTTTGTATAAAAAAGACAAAGATCCCAAGGTGAAGAGGGTCTGTTTTCTCATACTTGCCTCATAGATGGAAAGGTTCCTGATTGCTCTATGTGGTAAAGAAACTTTGGTTAAATAGCGGGCGTCTTGCCAGCACTGGGTCTGTTTCAATCCTGAGAAATCCGTTTTTCTGCTTTTCCTACAAAAATTATGGCTGTTGCCCTCAGCAGAGAGGGACATGTGGTTGCCAGCACCAGGTGGGCCCCTTGGGATTTCCCCTGCTGTGATCAGGGACTGCGAGGGGCAGAGACGTGACGTCCACTGTCCCTGAGGTGCAGGGCCACTGCAGATTCTGCCCCTGTGGACTACGGCAGGGTCACAAGACCCCGCTGACCAGGTGCATTTAGGCCTTGACTCCCAGGTTACAAATAATGTCACTGTGTTTGGTGAGCACCTCGACCCTTGCCTGGCTCTTCACGAGCGCAGGTCCCGGATGCCCGTGTGATGCCGAGCTTGGTGGGCTCCAGATGTGCCCGGGGCTGCTGAGCCCTGGTGGCTGAGTGCAGATGGTCAGTGGGCTCGGGCCACACGAGAAAAGGTGCGGCCTTCTGCTGAGCATGCAGGTCAGGCACAGCAAGCCCCAGGGATAAGATGACTCAGACCACCCGGGCGGCTGGCAAGCAAGGAAAAGCACCAGCTCAAGCTGTGGTAACCTTGCTGCCTTCCCAGGGCTGGGTGAGGCTGTCCCTCTGCCGTGGCAACCGCAGGACAGGTCCCAGGGGCTAGAGTGGCTGGGGTCGGCAGTCACCTGGGAATGGCGAGTCACGTAGCTGCCAGTCAGGTGGACCAAAAACAAGTGCCCTTCACGGGGAACAGAGAGACACGAGGGGCTTTCTCCTGTTCGTTAAAAGGACGCAGCCCTGCTCCACAGTATGTCAGCTGCCCAAACCCCAGTGTGTGCAGTTGCTTTACCATGACTTTGTTGTGGTTTTGGTTTTAATGCCACCCTGAAAGTGCATGCCCCCAACCTCGTCACAGCCCAGCGCTGGACGCAGGAGAGGGGTTAAGTGTTGCAATTAGCAGTCATAAGTGTAGGAGTTCTGGCTTTTCATTAACCCCAAAGGTAGTTCGTCCAGCCCTGAGGGCAGTAGCAACTGACACAAAGCTCTGGAACCGACCTGCTGCTTCTGACCCAAGCATCAGGGTCTCACGTTCTTCTGTTGCTTTTCACTCAATTTTAGTGTAACTGCGAAGTTTATGCTGTGGGCGATACCGCTGGAGAGTGAACCGCAGACAGGTAGAGAGAAAGACGTCCTGGGCCACCTCCGTGGCCCCAGCCCGGCTGCCCAGCCAGGCAGTTTGCTTGTTTGTCTTTGTTGTTCAAGGGAAGAGGAATCCAGCTGGGACCATTTCCAAGTCCTCGGGCCGGCGCAGAGCCCAGGCGGTGACTCCTAGAATACTTCCGGCGACACGTCCTACTTGGAGAATTCTCCTTAACACACTGTAGGAGTCCTAGCCTAAGGTTTATTTTAGAATTTGTCATCTGTCTTTCTTAAAGAATTGTAAGAAGCCTATCATGTTTGTGAAAAGGCTCAAGAAAAACTGACCTTCTGATCCCAGTGGCTGTTAAGTTTTTTTATTTTTTTTTTAAAAATCTTTTTTTAAATTTATTTGGTACAGGGTCTCACCGTGCAGCTCAGACGCGAGGTGACCAGCCTCCTCGGCACTGGGATTGCCCGTGTGAGCCAGCATGCCTGGTTTCTGTGGCCAGCTCAGTGTGGGGCCAGCACGACATGCAATACCAGTGATGGAACCCAAGTCCTGTGCTTGCCAGGCAGGTGCTTAGACTACTGAGCTACTTCTTAGGCCCCAGTGACTGTTAGGTTTTATAGTACTTCACCTCACACTTCCAGGCCATCTCCTGAGATGACATCTGGGCCATGAATAATTGGTCTGGTTTTCTTCTTTCCTCAGGCAAGTTACCAAAGCAGAGCTTGGGCTCTCCAGGGAGGCCCTGACCTTGCAGAGGCCCTGGCAGGCACCCTCTGCTGGAGTCCCTGTGTGCAGGGACATGTGTCTTAGTGGCACAGTGTTTTCCAGCTGGTGGCCTTGAGGGATCTAACTGTGGCTAGGGGCTCTGGCTTCGAGGTCAGGGTTTTTCCTGAGCCCAGCGTTAGGACCCCGATTCCTCAGTCCGTGCTGGTGCCCTCTGC